TCTGCTAGGCCTCCTCCTGTTTATATTTTAGCCATCATCCTCCATGCCAGAGAGGATTTAGTCACTTGGTTTGTTTGATTGCAGCTCATGTTTCACATTCATGGATAACCTGTGCAATAGCATCCACCCCTCAATCATGAGCCCATCTATAAGTTGCATCCCTTCCTTGATGGCCCACCAAGCTATAAATAATTCACCCTTATATTGCCAGTCCAGATCTACCTGAGCCGCTTCAGTCTTAGCAGCATGATCTGCCTGATGGTTGTTTTGATGTTCCTCAGTGGCCTGAACCTTGGGTACGTGGGCATCTATGTGATGTACGTCAGTGAACAGACCGTATTGCTTCTCATTTACTGATAGTTTATTATACTATGGGGCCTCTTCAGCACATGGCATTTCCTCTTCTGGCAACATTCCAAAATCTTTGCCTTCTGGCCAGTCCATGATCACTTCTAGAATTCCTGAGTGACTGGGGTTTCCTATTCAAGCCCGCTGTGTGATCAGTGCAATGCACTTACTCCATGTAGCATCGGTTGCATGATGTGTAGAAGGGACCCTCCATTCAAACATCCAGCCCAGCACCATCAGTTGGGGTGCCAAGAGGAGCTGTGCTTTAGTACCAACCACCTCTGAAGCAGCTCAAACCCCTTCATGTGCTGCAAATATCTCTTTTTCAGTTGAAGTATAGTGTGCATCAGATTCTCTGTATCCCCAACTCTAAAACTCTAGGGGTCGACCTTGAGTCTCCCCTGGTGCTTTCTGCCAGAGACTCCAGGTAAAGCCATTCTCCCTGGCTGCGATGTAGAGCACATTTTTTACATCTGGTCCTGCCTGAGCTGGCCCAAGGGCTACTGCGTGGACAATTTCTTGTTTAATTTGTTCAAAGGCTTGTCATTGCTCAGGGCCCCATTTAAAATTGTTCTTCTTCTGGGTCACCTGATAGGGCTTACAATCAGACTGTCATTTGGAATGTTCATTCTCCAGAAACCCACAACGCCTAAGAAAGCTTGTGTTTCCTTTTTGCTAGTTGGTAGAGACATAGCTGTTATTTTGTTGATCACATCCATTGGTCTGATGGCGTCCATCTTGCCATTTTATTCCTAAAATTGGATCTCCTGAGCAGGTCCTTTGACCTTACTTTGTTTTATGGCAAAACCAGCTTTCAGAAGGATTTGGACTATTTTCTTCCCTTTCTCAAAAACTTATTCTGCTGTGTTGCCCCATGTGATGATGCCATTGATGTATTGCAGGCGTTCTGGAACTTCACTCTGTTCCAGCACAGTCTGGATCAGCCCGTGGCAAATGATGGGGCTATGTTTCCACCCCTGGGGCAGTTGATTCCAGGCGTACTGGATGACCCTCCAAGTGAAAGCAAACTGTGGCCTGCACTCTGCTGCCAAAGGTATTGAGAAAAACACATTTGTGATATCAATTGTGGCATATCGCTTGGCTGCCTTTAACTTCAATTCATATTGAAGTTCCAGCATGTCTGGCACGGCAGCACTCAGTGGCAGCGTGACTTCATTCAGGTCATGATAGTCTACTGTCAGTATCCACTCTCCATTAGACTTTTGCACTGTCCGTATAGGACTCAGTCAAGGGTGACTGAGTCTTGCTGATCACTCCCTGGCTCTCCAGTTGACAAATCAGCTTATGAACAGGAATCAGAGAATCTCGGTTGGTGCGATGTTGCTGCCAGTGCACCGCCGTGGTAGAGATGGGCACCTGTTGTTCTTTGACCCTGAGCAGCCCCACAACAGAAGGGTCCTCTGAGAAACCCGGCAAAGTAGACAGCTATTTAATTTCCTCCATCTCCAAGGCAGCTATACCAAAAGCCCACTGATAGCCAGTTGGGTCCCTGAAATACATTCTCCGGAGGTAGTCAGTGCCAAAGATGCACTGAGCCTCTGGGCCAGTCACAATGGGATGCTTTTGCCACGCACTCACAGCTAGGCTTACTTCAGCTTCCAGTACAGTTAACTGTTGGGATGCGCCGTCACTCCAGAAATACAGATGGGTTCTGCCCCTTTACAGGCAATAGGATACACTGTGCAGTGGTGTCTACTAGAGCCTTATACTCCTGGAGGTCTGATTGGCCAGGCCATTGAATCCGCACAGTCCAGTAAACTCGGTTATCCCTCTCCTCCACCTGGCTGGAGGCAGGGCCCCTCTAGTCCTGGTCATAGTATTCATTGCCAATGAATGGGTTTGTGTGGCACACAGGGGTTTGAATCCCGTCCTTGTTACTTCCTGTAAATGCAAATCAGAAGCTCCTTCCATAAGATCAGAAATAAAGTCAGTCCTCCTACTCTGTCTGGGGAACTGCCTGCTGGAGACCAGAGCAGTAATTTTCCTGGAAGAATCCCCCATTTGTGATTATTTTTCCTTGCAATTCATGCACCTGTGCCTCTAGGCTCGAGGTAGGTTTTCTATCCTGCTTCCTCATGTCCTCTCTGTGGTCATGCAAGTAAAACCACAGGGTGCCTCGTGGTGTGTACCCTCTATATCTTCTCTCTTGAGCAGAGGAACGCTTACTCTCCAGCTGAGATACTGGTCTGTATAAGCAGGGAATTGGACATATCCTCTTTGAGTTGCCGGACGTCCTGGGACAGTTTTTTGAACGGGTTTTTTGATTTTTCAGACAGTCTTTCCATGGCCGAGACGCAGGCCTGTAGGGAGGAAGAGAGATTTTCTTTGTATTGCCCAAGTCAGCCAGCCACTTCATTCATCATTGGTGCCTCCTCATCTTTCCAGGCCAGTACTACCAGTGAGTTGGCATATGATGGTGGTGCACTCTGTACAAATTTGTGCCGCATGGGTAGGATACGTTGGACTTCATCTGGATCTGTGGGTAACTGCGTGTTGTCCAGGTCATAATAAACCATCTCCCGCATGGTTAATTCCCTCAGGTACTGGATACCTCTCTCAGTGGTGGTCCACTTGCCTGGGTGACATATAACATCTTCACTAAGGGATACTTTTCCCTCATGTCTGACAAGAGTTGTCTCCAGAGGCTGAGGGCTTCCTCCTGTTCTTGTGATGGACGTGTTTTGTCATCCTTTACTAAATGAGTTGACTTTTGTGTCCGTTTCTTCTTGTGTATAGGGGTGACTGATACTGATGTGGGTTGGTTCTCTGGTTCAGCTGCACTGCCTGTCATGGGTGTTGGAGTAGCCGCAGTGCCTGTTGCAGGGTTTGATCTCCAGGTGGTACTCTTAAATAGTTGTTTAACCCTAAACAAGACCTGAACCACATTCAGGAGACCTAGCAATAGAAGCATGCTGATCTGAACATCCCAAGGATGTTCAAGATTCTCAAGAAACGTTGTCATTAGCCTGGAGGGGAAGGGGAAGGAAGGTGTCTCCCCCACATACTGGCTCTCCGAGGAGAAAGAGTAAAAAGTGTAATTATTAATAGCTCCCTAAGTACGGAGGTGAAACTGCTGCTGTCATTTTGCTCTGCATGCTGCCACCGAGTGCAGATACCAGATTGGTCTGAAGATCAATGATTTTATCATACCATAAGCCAGTGGTACACGGTACAGCAGAGTGATAACCTTAATCCAATGTCCAGAGGTGATAAAGCGTACATAAACACTGGTAACCAGTATGTATGGCAAGTAAGATGTTACAAAACACAACTTGGAGAACAAGTAAAACAACATTGTGACCAGCAGACCAGCGACTATTAAACTAATATAATGAATGCTTATAACAAATTTGTTTTAACATGCTCTGGTCAGATCTGTCATTATCTCAACCCTTTGTGCCAAAAAGGACTGTCATGGTTTATCCCCGGCCGGTAACTGAGCACCACACAGCTGCTCACTCACCTCTTTCTCCCTGCCATTGGGATGGGGTGGAGAATGGAAAAAAACCCTCGTGGGTTAATATGAAGACAATTCAATAGGATAACATAGGTGAAAATAACATAATAATAATATATATATAAAACCCCAAAACCAACAAGTGATGCACAAATGCAGTTGCACACCACTTTCAGAAAAAACCCCAATGCCCAGTGTGTTTCCGAGCATCGATCCCACCTCCCGGCTAGCTTCCCAAGTTATGCCCTGCATATCGCTTTGGCCAGTCTGGGTCAGCTGTCCTGGCTGTGCTCTCCCAGTTTCTTGTGCACCTGGCAGGGCATGAAGAGCTGAAAAGCCCTTGACTTAGTGTAGACACTACAACTACCCAGCAACAACTAAAACCATCAGTGTGTTATCAACATTATTCTCATCCTAAATCCAAAACACAGCACTATACCAGCTACTAGAAAGAAAATTAACTTCATCCCAGCTGAAACCAGGACAAGCATTTAGTGTACTAATAACATTTCTTATTATTGTGAGAAAAATACATTTTATTTTCTTTTGTAAGTGAACTCTTGCAAATCCTTGCAAAGTTGTAACTCTGTGGATGTCACTCCATTTAGGTCTCCATACTATTGGTTTGCTGTTGTGTAGGTATGCTGACAGTTGCTGCAATAATGCCTAAGTGGTCACTTGAAGCTGTGTTTTTTGAAAGATAATCTATGAGTTGGACAGGCTTGCTTAAGGCTGGGCTTAGTTTTAAAACATAGTTGCAGTCTTTTTCTTAGATTATTATATAATGAATACATACCTTGTTAAAGGTCACTGTAAACTTGCGGCACCTGGGTTTTTCTGGCTATTTAGATATTCTTCTTTCAAGTAAGTGTTTGTTCTGAATGAAGAACATGTTTGGTGACTGTAAAAGGCTGATTCCTGAAGCCTGTTTAATGATTTCTTCAACTCTAGTATCTTAATCAGTAGGGTTTTTCCTCTCCCATGCTGTCTTCATGATACAGCAAACATGAAACTTAGGAATGCTTTGGTTGATTAGCTGACTGCTGTGAAACTGTCTGAATTGCTGGTATTCTATTGATTGCATTACATCACTATAAGGATATTGTAAAACCTAATGGGATTATTCTAAAACTTAACAAACTATGTCTAAATAATATATTATTATTTTTTTCCTCTACAGGCTCATAAGTCAGTGAACTTTGTTTCAACTCTGCTTCAGATCACTATGTCTGAGCAACTGGATTTACCAGTGAGACAGGCAGGCAAGTTTTCAAATCTTTTTTCATTGTATCTACTTTAATGGTGCATACACACAAGTACATATCCACATACTTTTAAAGAATTCTAATGGCTTTAATCTCAAATACTCAAAAGTTGGGAGTCGCTTGGATTACTGTCATCATGATCTACATCTGGCACCATACGCTGAATAGGGAAGACAGAAAGAAAAGGTGACTGGCTCTTCAGTGATTGCTCCCCTTTATCTCTAGTGAACAATGGTCTTTGGGGAAACAATGGTTTATGCTGCTAGTACATGTGATCCAAGAAGGTTATTTAAGCTTGTGCTAGGAATGCTAATGTTTCTAAGCTTTTTAAATGGAAGAAAACAAATTATGTCTTTTGGAACCCTGCTAATTTGCATGAGCCATCAGTAAAATTGGATATTGAATAGTAGCAACTCAAAACATCACCTTAAAGCTGTAATAGTTACTTGATAGAGATTTCTAATACGATACTTCATTGGTTTTTCTGACAGTTCAGGAAGCGTGATCTTGATCACTTATTTGGATCTTCCGTGTAGCAGACTATTCTAAGTTGTAGCATAAGCCTAACTTGCATTTTTATCTTACCGTTTGGGGGTACCATTCAGATGATGACCAAAAAAGTTACTGCTTAATATGTGTAACGTGCAAAAAAAGGGGGAGATTTGGAAACAGCTTCTGAAAATTCACCCCCAGTGTAAGCCAATTAAAAACCAAAGCAGTCTGTAGAGAGTGGAGACAACTTGTACAGCGCATAGCTTACAGTGCATGTTTTGCAAAGCAATTAATGGCATGCTAAATCCCACTGAGGACAGATTGAAGTCTGCATCACTTCTCTCTTGTAATAGCAGATATCTGCTGAGTGTTTCTTACCTTTGCAGACCCATTCAGAAACCCCTTGGTTTCTGAATCTTCAGAAGATGCATATGAAATTTGGGAAGAGAAGTTACTTTATGGATTTGTACAGAATTAGACTAATAGTATCTTTGTTATTAGTTTGTCATTTGAGATTTCCTGTTGCAATTTGTAAGTCCTTTTCTTTGCAAGTGTTTTAATCTATATTCTGCCACATAAGCAGTTTGCATTTGGTTGTCAAATGGTAAATGCAGGCATTTGTGCCAGCAGCGTGATTGCTACAAAGTGCTGTGGCTCCTAGCCTTGGTATAAAGGAGCTCTGTTTCTCTTTAGCATTCACTCCTGTATCACAAACTTAGTTAGATAGGGATGTTTTAGATAGTCGTTGGTATTGATTAGCTTTGTTTTAATGAAAATACTGAGAAAATAATTATAAATTATTTTTCAGAAGTGTGTTCCCAAAATGTTCCACCATTATTTGTCTGTAGCACAGATAAAAGCAATACGTTTAGTGTTTTTATATGAAAACACATTCTTTACAGAACTAAAAATACAGACATCACAATAAATAGGTAAAAGAGTATCAGCCTAGTAAATTATTAGGTTAATAATTTGCATAGTTTGTACAGTGTATTTTGATTCCCCTACTCAGAAATGGTCAGTGAATTAGTGATTTCAATGTTTTGTTCTGAAGTAGATTTGTTTGCAAAATGCGTACTTGTTTTGTACTTCGAATGGCTATCAGCTGATTTGCCACTTTTGTCTCACAGGGGTTATCTACTTGAAAAATATGATAACCCAGTATTGGCCAGATCGTGAAACTGCACCAGGAGAGATTCCACCTTACTCCATCCCAGAAGAAGATAGACACTGTATTCGTGAAAATATTGTAGAAGCCATTATTCATTCTCCTGAGCTGATTAGGTATGCAGTTTTAACCTGTTTATGAATTGGCTGTGGTTTCTGACTGTTGCTGAACTAAGATCACCTGCGTGCTAAGCATCATTGTCATATACTGTGTATCCTAAGCATAGAATTAATGTAGATGGAAAAACAGTTTTCAGCTTGTGCAGCATGTAGAAATTTAAAGTTCCTCACATGAAGAATATTAAGCAGAAAGTACAGAGCCTAAACTTTCTAAACAAAACTTGAAATAAGTCTAAGTTTGGGCAGTATTATTAAAATAATAGTAGTAACTTATTTAATCATTGTGCATTTGATTTTTAGAGTACAGCTTACAACTTGCATTCACCATATTATCAAGCATGATTATCCTAGTCGCTGGACTGCAGTTGTGGAGAAAATTGGATTTTATCTTCAGTCTGACAACAGCGCTTGTTGGCTTGGAATTCTTCTTTGTCTTTATCAACTTGTGAAAAATTATGAGTAAGTTTTTTCTATCATATAAAACAGCAGAATTAATATATTTGTGCATATTTTTTCTATTCTGTACATATATTGTAACCATGTAGAATTGCGTGTGGGATTGCGCAAAGGTGATAGAAATCTAATTGTAGAAAATATTCTTGCATACTTGCTATGCAGATGTTGGCTCATTTCTTCTCCACTAAGAAATTACAGAAAAACTGCCTTCATTAAAGGTTTGAGATCAGAAAAAAGAGGGTGTTTTTTGAAGCCTTAATTTGGTAGTTGTTTTTTATGAATTGATAGTAATAAGAAAGCCTGCTCAAAATCATGACTTTTGAGAAAATGATTATGTATTTAAACCAGGTTTAGACTCTTAAACAATTTGAACTCTAGGTATCAGGGATGGCAAACATAGATTTCACACTGTGAAGCCTTGACTGTTAGAAGTTCAGTATTAGTTGACTGACTTTGGTATGATGGTTTTGATAGCCTCATCCAACCCATCATAGGAAATCTTTATCAAAGCCCACTGTTCTCCTATATGCAAGGCATTGGGCTCGGATACAGCTCAATGTTCTTTACTCTGCATCTGGTGTTATGCTCAGAGCCTTAAAAGTTGAGATTGCGCTTTGAGAAGTTATGTAGAGCTTAACTGCTGCTGGCACATTGGAAGTTCATTTGAGCTGGGTCAGAGAAAAGTGCAATCCTGGAGTCAGGGAATTGTATAGTGGAACTGAGGGAATCCACAGCTTCCTTCCTTCAAAGCACTGTCATGCATGACATTTTTGTTTCAGGTACTTGATTTAAAATGTTGTATTGAAAAATTTCACTGTCTTAATTCAATGAATTTTATGTAAATTAGTGTAAAACAGGTGAATATCAGTTTCTCAGAAATCCTTTTTTACAGGAATGCTGTAAAGACCTTTGTAATCCCATGTTGGAGTTTTTTTGGTGGCTGAAAATTGCAAGTCCTGCTAGGAAATGAAAATAAACTAATTTCTCACTTTTCAATTTAAACATCTTTAACCAAATATACAGCAGAGATCTGAGAGATATAAACCAAAGTGTTCACTGGTAGTGTATTATGATGATAGCAATCCTTGTTTAGGGAAGAATTTTGATAGGAGCACAGTCATTGCGTGATTAACTAAGATAACAGGTGTGTTCATAATCTTAGTTGATCAAACACTTTAGCTGAGGCCAGCAACTGCTCATACTTGTTTAGCTTTTTGGTGAAGTCAACAAGGGTCAGTTTCACAAGTCATGTATGAATATGCACATTTCATTGCATAACAATATGGGTGCAAGCAGGTCTGTGTAAAATTTGTTAAATTACATATGTGGGTTTTTTGGGGAAAAAATCTGCATAATACTATGACTTTGATGAAGTTTTTACTGCTTGAGTTGTAGGAATATTTAGCTATTTTTTTTTTTTTTTTTCTTAATGTGGAAGGTAAATATCTTGGGACTTTTCAACACTTTTTTCCTCCAAATCCAACCAGCAAGATGAAATGGCTGCTCTTTGCATAGTAATTTTTTTTTTTGGTCTTTTTCAATTGTGTCTGCGGAAGTTAGAAACTGAGTTTTCCTAAGCAACATTTAATCCTTATATTTAGGTTTCTATTTCATAAAATACATGGAAACTATATTATTGAACAGGATTTTGGAGCTCAGTGTTCTGTAGTAGTTTTTACAGAACATGCTATCTGGCAGCAGATTGAGTAGGCTTTATCTTACATTTCTGCAAATTGGCACTCTTTAAGAGTCTGAGCGTTGATATTTAATATTAGTGAAAACTCTACCAAAAATTTATTAAAAAAACCCCCAAAAACCAAACCGAAAACCCAATCCCCCAACCCAGAAATCTCTCACAGGAGTCCAAGAGCATTACAGTATTAATTGCTTAATCAAAAAATAAAGCTGTACAGTCTTGAAGTGATACTTTACTTTGTGCTTATTGTCATCACCAGTATGGACAAGATCCTATTCTGCTGTGATAACTCTTGAGTCAATAAGGATTTTCCTTCTTGTTTGTAAGTTAAAAGTTGGGGGAAAGGTTTCAAAATACGGCCTTCATTTCCTTCCAGAAATTTTGAAATGTTTTGAGAAAAGAAATGGAGCCTTGTTTTCAGCATAGGCAAACTGATGGACTGTTGCCAGCATGGGAGGGTCTGAAGCACTATTTATTTCAGTGGAGGTTGCAATTGAAGTCTCCTCGGGGTCCGCCACAGCCTTGAAACCCACAGTCTCTATCAAATTGTTAGCAGCAACAATAAACTGTGAGAGACTTCAGAGTTTGCTTTCTTCAATGGTAGTGAAATAATCTAGCTTCTAGAAATATTTTGATAAGTTGTGAATTCTGATAAATGCCTTTCTGGAATTTTACTGACTAGCCCAGCATCTGCCATTCTTGGCAATAAGTGTGTACCTTTTTTTCTTGCAGTTTTTATAGTGCTCTGATTCCTTTTCACTATTGTAATTTTGTGGCTGAACATGGTGCAGTATTCAAAGTG